TCGTTCCAGAGGGTCGGAGCAGCCACAGAGAAGGCTCTCCTCCGGGTAGTCGCCAGTCGACACTCGCCGGCGGATGGAATTCGGAGACCTAATCTGTGGGATCTAATCGGTCTAGTGGAGGTAATTGGCAGGAGGCGGTCTCTCAAGTATAATATAATTTGCATTGCCCAAGTACATTTATATGAACTGGACTTTTTAACCCACCCACCCCAACAAAAAACAACAACAAAACCCTGCAAACAGTTTTTGAGATAAGCTGCATAACTTTAGATGTCATTGTATTTACTGACTTTAGGGATATCTTTGTGCATAGAGTTGCCGTAAATGTTATTCATTCATCTTGGAATTGTTGTTTTTTTTAGGAATTTGAAACTGTATTCTGTGGTAAAACAGGCAGAAGGCTAAAATTAACGAGATCAGATCCCATAGCAACCTGTGCAACCCAGGAGATCACACAGAATAATACATCTACAGACATGAAATAATACAATCCTCATATTCAAGAGCTCTTGAAAAATAATCCAGGATGTCTAAACCTAAACTCACCGACTGGACTTTTCTTATAATATGGTTGACTATATCTCTATCTCTATGTCTCTCTCTATATTGTTCAAGACTAGTAAATGCTACTCCCCATCCCATTTCTATTTTTTGATTTTGTTTTATCAAATATATATAATAATTAAAATGCTGCCTATGTAGCAACCTGTTCTTTCCCCTCTTGCTCATATATATGAATTATAAATTAAATTTATATAAATTAATAGATGTGCCATAAGAAACCAGTTTTGCTATTAGAAGAAAAAATTGTAAGTAATTTATAAACTGTATAAAAATGGTAATTGTATATACGTAGTAACTCAGATCTTCCCTTTTTAAAAGTTTATACCCTGTAAAACTAAATTCTATAGAAAAAGCTGTTCACTATGCGTTACAAATACACTACTATTTTAAATATGTTTTGCACTTTCTCTAAACTTCTCATTCAGGATGAAGAAAAAGATTCTATTTTGCACAAACATCCATTTAAATGGATAGAAAAAAATGCAGCTGTAAGTTCTGATGAAAACCTCATCGACTTCTCAGGTGTTTTATGTGACAATTCCCATCCTTTTAGTGCAAAAGTGGTATTTTGTAAAAATACATGAATTTTAAGTGCACATATTTTTTCCCCTTTCCTTTTTTAAAAGACAACTACTAGCTATATTTGTTAGGAAAGCTATTTAGCATATTTAATTGACAGTGGCTTTATCAGAACAGATAATGCTAATAGGTATTCTTATACAGAACTTATCACAAAATAAATACTGTTTAAATCACGGATATTCACACTTGTGTGGCCCCTTTATTTTCAATCACCAAAAGAAAAAATAAACAAAGCAGAATTAGCCTATTATAAAATAGGCAGGCACGATAATACAATTTTTAAATTTATTTTTACATTAATGTATACACTCGTTTTCAATAGTGTTTGTTTTCTGTACTTTGGTTTTTTTATTAATACTTAATGTTGAAAGGGTATAATGTGTCATTACTGAATATCCTTTATAATACTGGAGAAATGTTCAAATTCATCTAAGAAACAGGTGTGTGCACGTTTTTCCTCATAAACCATGCATGAAAATGGACATTTACTAAGAATTCATACCCTAGAGTGGGCTCTAAGTATATCGTGATATTCCATTGAATGTTGTAAAATCTGTTTCCAGTGCAGTTGTGATTAATTCACACCCATAAAAACTCGGATGTCCAACATGGCTTTTGATCCAATACATTAAGCTGTTGTGGACACAAAATGTCAGGGAGTGAATTTCAAGGGAATCTTTGAATTATGCACATTTTATAAATGATAATTTTAATCATCCAGTTTGATTCAATTCACCCGATTTACATTTGTGAACCCCAATCAAAACAGGGAGCTCTGCAAAGTATCCCACTTCCTAGCCATTTAAACGCCTGCATTTTCTGTCTGAATCACCAGTCCAGGTATGTACAGTTGTTGGACAATCTGGAAAATAATGAGTTTACATCTGTTATTTTACCAGTAATGATATGGGATTAATAAACACCAAATGAAGTCATTGCAAAAACTGGTATAATCTTAGGAAGAGGGAATCTCTTTTAACTTTTACTTTAGGAATAACGGTGTGTCTCTTCAAAGAACTGGTTCTGTTTGGCATGAAATAGACATTAACTACAGGGTCCATTATGTGTAAGTTGATTCCCCCCCCCCCCCAATGGAACTGAAAAAGAGCATCCATTTTATTAACCCTCTTTCAATCAGGACAATGTTTCTTTCCATTGTGTATGAACAATTCCTTTGTGGGGTTCTTTGGCCCTCTCTAAGGTTGGAGGTTTTCTTGCAGACATTTCATTACCAAACTAGGTGACATCATCAGTGCGCTGATGTCGCCGCCTAGTTGGATAACTAAACATCTGCAAGAAAACTATCAAGTTCAGAGAGCACCAAGGACCCCACAGTTCAACCCTGAGCCATAAATACTCTCTCTTGGTAACAACTCCATTGAATGTCGTGTTCCCTTTCCTCACTCACTTAATTCAACTTCCTGCGGATTTATGATTTCTTGAATTTCCCTCTAGCAGCAGCTCCTATGCAGGCAGACGAATCACAGAGTCCTGTAGTTCCTTGTGCTCCAGCTGAACCCGGTCTTCCAGAATCCCCTGGTAACCCAGGTTCACCAGGCGCACCATTCCGGCCATCTTTCCTGATTCCAGGAACACCTGGTGGTCCTTGGGAGGGGGAAAACAAAAGATTCAGCATGTTATTCGGCATTTTTTCAAGGACAGGCAGCAGCTGGAGAAACAATCACATTTTTTAAAAAAAAATTGGTTTGGTTTTAAAGCTATGTGTGTCCTCGGGGCCATTTTTCTTTCCCCGTATCTAGATATTGATCTGGATTGCCAACTTCTCAACCTAAATCAAGGGGGTCTCCAAATTTGGAAACTTTAAAACTGATGGACTTCAACTCCAGAAGGTTGGCTGGGGAATTCTGGGAGTTGAAGTTCACAAGGCTTAGGGAATTCTGGGAATTGAAGTTTATGGTCCTCAAGTTGAAAAAAATTGGAGATTCCTGCTCTAGATGGGTATGTCAACCCAATTTCAGCTGCTCTCAATTTCTCCCCTTTGCCAATTGGTTCCTTGAATTGGCTATTTTTTTCCCTACAAGTCCCAACAAAATTTGAATATATTACGGTAGGCTTTTCCCTCCAAAAAATTGTCAGCATTCCAACTAACTCCTCATTGCAATTCAGAACTCCGAGAGAAAGTCCATCGAAGTAAAATGTTATTAGAGAAGTCATATTGGCACATCTGGGGAAACCCGAATGTGAAAGCCTGCATTTTCCCCCACCCACACTAAAACTCACACCCTGCCCTGTCCAGTGACATTCACATCACATGGCCCAATCAACCCCCCTATCACAGCTGCCACCAAACTTCGGTCACTCCCATCCAGGTGCCAGCAGCCCGACCTTGACCTCATGTGAAATAATGTGGCTACCCCAACACAAGTAGCAATAGCAGTCGCAATAGCAGTTAGACTTATATACCGCTTCATAGGGCTTTCAGCCTTCTCTAAGCGGTTTACAGAGTCAGCATATTGCCCCCAACAACAATCCGGGTTCTCATTTTACCCACCTCGGAAGGATGGAAGGCTGAGTCAACCCTGAGCCGGTGAGATTTGAACAGCCGAACTGCAGAACTGCAGTCAGCTGAAGTAGCCTGCAGTGCTGCATTTAACCACTGCGCCACCTCGGCTCTTAAGTGACATTGAGCTGGCCACATCCACCATGGCCAGACCCCCCCCCCCCAGCTGCCCTCCCCCGAGATCAAACACAACCCTGATGCAGCTCTCAATGAAATTGAGTTTGACATCCCTGCTATAAATCCCTCAATTCCCCACCATTCAGTTAGAACCGAAGAAGTTTCTTGCATGAGAAGTGAAATGTTTCAAGAGGCGGGGGGGGGGGGGGGGATGAAGAAAATCCAGTTACCTTTTATAAAGCACCTTTGGGGACAACCATGACCTGGATGATTGAGAATCTCCATAGAGATTTCTTTGAAGACATCTTGCTTCTCATCCAAGAAGCTCCTTCTGAGCTGAAAAAGCTTCTTGGATGAGAAGCGAAACGTCTTTAAAAAAAAACCAAGAAAGTCCAGTTGCCTCTTGGAAAAAAGCCCCTTTGGGAACAACCAGGACCTGGATGATGGAGAATCTCCATAGACATTCCCCTGCAGAATATTCTTTTCAACTCACCTTGCGGGCCTTGATCTCCAACAGGTCCATCCACGCCTTTGCCAGCGACTCCTTTGTCTCCCTTCTCACCTGAGTCCCCTATAAAATTTAAATAAAACCCATCCATCAGAAAGGACACCCTTGGTAAGCCGACTTGGGAAAGAAACATCAAATCCAACCTTTCGTAGGTTTTAATGCATGGCAGGTACTCCTCAACTTCTGACCACAAAGCCTGAGCCCGGAATTTCTGTGGCTCGGTAAGGTTTGCCCCAGTTTACATCCTTTCTTGCCAGAGTTGTTGTGAATCACTGCAGTTGTTAAGTTAGTAGTGTGGTTTGTTACATGAATCTAGGTTCCCCCTGGACTTTGCTTGTTAGAAAGTCGCAAAAAGTCCCACAGGTGTTTTTTTCAAGAAGCAACTGGACTTCCTGGTTTTTCTTTGAAGACATTTCGCCTCTCATCCAAGAAGCTTCTTCAGCTCTGACTGGATGGTGGGAAATGCCCTTTCTTGGATGAGAAGCGAAACGCCTTCAAAAATAACCCAGAAAGTCCAGTTGCCTCTCAAAAAAGCACCTTTGGGACAACCACGACCTGGATGACTGAGAATCTTCATAGCTAACGTCTATGAGTACATGAATACATGCCATTTTGATCAAGTGACCATGGGGATGCTGCAATGGTCATAAAGTGTGAAAAACGGTCATAAGTCACTTTTTTCGGTGCCATTCAGAGGTGGTATTCAGCAGGTTCTGACCAGTTCTGGAAAACCGGTAGCGTAATTTTTGAATAGTTCTGAGAACCGGCAAATACCACCTCTGGCTGGCCCCGCCCTCATCTATTCTCTGCCTCCTGAGTCCCAGCTGATTGGGAGGGAATGGGGATTTTGCAATAACCTCCCCAAGCCACTCCCACCAAGCCATCCCCACCAAGCCACTCCCCCCAAGCCATGCCCACCAAGCCATCCCCACCAAGCCACTCCCCCCAAGCCATGCTCACCAAGCCATGTCCACAAAACCTGTAGTAAAAACATTTGAATCCCACCACTGGTGCCATTGTAACTTCTAACAGTCGCTAAAGAAATGATCATAAGTTGAGGACTACCTGTAATCTCTTTGGGGCTTTACTCACCTCTGGGCCCAGGAGCTCCCAAATGCCCTGGGGGTCCCCTGTATCCAGGTGGGCCACGGGCCCCAGGATGTCCAATGCTCCCCATTGCTCCAGCAGGCCCCGGAGGTCCAGCGGGCCCAGGCTTCCCCATGAGTCCAGGAGCCAAGGGTTTCCTTAAATTAGCAGCTAACTGGGCAATGTGCTCTGGAATTAAAAACAAACATGCTTAAAAACTGCAGGGTGGATTTTTATCAGTCACTGGAGGCAGTGGAAGCATTCAAGGCATTCCCAGAGAAGCTTGCAAACAAACATGTTGCTATAAAATAAAGCATGCCAAACCATTTTGGATTTAAAAAAAGGTTTTAGCCCTTTTTTTGAAAGACTGAATTTTAGCCACTTGCTGCAAAATTGTTGTGGGCTTTAGCCTTTTTAAAAAAAATACAAAATAAATACACAGAATAACTAGATAGATAGATGATATGGGCAGAAGACAGAAAGAAATAGTTGATGGAGAGAGAGAGAGGGAGAGGGAGAGGGAGAGGGAGAGGGAGAGAGGGAGAATATGATGGACGGACGGACGGACGGATGGATGGATGGATGGATGGATGGAGATACTAGACAGAAATAGACGAATGTAGATACACACATACAAACAAACACATAGCTACACATGTGCACAATTGGTGCCAGCTCGGACACTCAATATATACGTATAGCTCATCTGGAAATAGTCTTACTTCTCATTCTTCCCAAATAGATAAAAACACTATCTCTAGAGCAGTGTTTCTCAACCTTAGAGACTTTAAGATGGGCAGACTTTCAACTCCCAGAATTCCCCAGCCAGAATGTTAACAGTTGGAAGATCTTCCATTCCAACCCACTACTCAAATACGAAACCCTATACCAATGGCAAACCTTTTGTGGCTTGCATGCTAAAAGTGGGGGAGGAGTGCAGTGGGGGCCCACAGGCTCCAGAGGCTTTATAGGAGCCTGGGGAGGGCGAAAACAACCCCCCGCCCCCCTGGAGGTCCTCCAGAGGCTTCAGGGAAGCTTCCAAAGCCTCCAGAGTGCACAAACCCAGCCATACGGGCAAACCAGAAGTTCAGGAACGGACTTCCAGTTTGCTCGTAGGACCGGTTTTAGCCCTCCAGAGCCTTCAGGGGCCTTCCAGAGGCTTCCCTGAAGGCTCCAGAGGATGAAAAATGGTCCTACGAGCAAAAACGGTCCTACGAGATGGAGCTCTCGTCTCACAATCAGGAGGTTGTGACTTTGATCCTGGTTAGTGGTAAACAGGGGTGGGTTCCTCCCGGTTTGCACCGGTTTGCACGAACCGGATCATCGGTGAACCGGGAAGTAATTAACTTCCGGAACGCCGGTACCACTCCTGGCCCCTGTCGCTGGGTGCCTGCAGGGTTTTTCTTTTTAAAAAACGCCTCTCCGGATGATCTTGAAAACCTGCAAGGTTGCTTTGGAAGGGGACAGATGGGCAGCATTTCCCCCTGCCCTCCTCCCCGAGAGCCTGCAGCCTTAGAGCAAGCCTTTGCACAGTAAAGAAAATCTCACGAGCGAGAGAAGTTCTTAATTGCTTTTACTGTGAAGTTTCGGAAGCTTCCGAGGCTGCAGGCAACCAGAGATGGGGTGGGGGAATGCTGCCTGTCTTCCTCCTCCCAAAGCAACCTTGCAGGTTTTCAAGATCGTCTGCAGAGGCGTTTTTAAAAAGAAAATGGTCTTCTTGGGAGGGGGAAATGGGCTACACTCAGAGGAGCCGGCGCTTGGGGCACCCTGAAACAACGCATCCCCCCCGCCTCGTTCTACTCAGCAAGCGGGGACATCCCGTCTGTGCCCGCTTCTGCTGTCGCCACCTCCGCTCCCAAACGCAACTGTCAGCTGCGAGCAGGTACCTGAAGCTGCTGCTTGCAGTCATTTACGGCTGCAGATAGATTGTGCCTGTAGCAGGAAGCTCTTCGCC